TTGACAAACACTTCTTCCTTTAGATAGCCATTGAGGAAGGCACTCTTGACATCCATCTGATGGAGAGTGAATTCCATTTAGGCAGCAAAGGCTATAAGGAGTATAATTACTTCCAATCTTACAATTTGAGCAAAAGTATCATCATAGTCTATGCCATCCTCTTGACTATATCCTTGAACCACCAATTTTGCCTTGTTCCTTGTAACTGTTCCATCTTTGTCAAGTTTGTTTCTCAAGACCCATTTTGTGCCAATTATTGATCTGTCATTGGGTCTTGGTACCAGATACCAAACTTGACTTCTCTCAAATTGGTTGAGTTTATCTTGCATTGCATTCACTCAGTCTGCATCCTACAAAGCCTCAACAATATTTTTAGGTTCAATAAGAGATAACAAAGCATAAAAAGCACAAAGATTCTTCAAAGAAGATGTGGTTTTGATTTCAGAGGTTGGATCAGTAATTAAATGGGATGAAAACTTTGATACTTGTAAGGTTTCACAACCAGTTGGTTTTTCCTAGATGTTCCTTCAATGTTTTGTTGCTGAGGAACAGGTTCCCTCGAGGTTTGAGGATCAATTTCTCTTAGTTCAGTTCCCCCTATCAGGTTGCCCTGGGTGGAAGGACCTATTCCATCACCTGTTCCTTCCTCTGGTGCAGCTTCAGTCCGGGCTATGGTTTCATTTGAGTTTCTTACTATCCCAATTGCTTCATCATCATGTTCCTACCTCTCAGAAAGAATGTTAGTTTCGTCAAAAATCACATGTACACTTTATTCTACACACATAGTTCTTTTGTTATAAATCTTGTAAGCTTTACTATGTGAAGAATATACCAAGAACACTCCCTCATCATTTCTGGGATCAAACTTACCTAGGGAGTCTTTACCATTATTGTGCACAAAGCACTTGCATCCAAATGCCCTAAGATGGGATATATTTGATTTTCTCCCTTTAAGTAACTCATAGGGAGTCTTCTCAACAAGAAGTCTAGTCATGCACCTAATTATGATGTAGCATGCAGTGTTCACAGCATCTGCCTAGAAACTATAGGACAGTTTACTAGAAAGAAGCACAGTCCTAGCTATTTCTTCCAATGTACTATTATTTCTTTCAACTACTCCATTTTGTTGTGGAGTCCTAGGAGCAGAAAAATTATGATTTATGCCATGCTCATCACAAAATTCAGCAAATTTAGCATTCTCAAATTCAGTACCATGATCAGACATAATTGATGCAAGTTGATTACCTAGTTGTTTCTGAGTTTTTCTAACAAAAGAGGTGAAACATGCCAAATGCTTCATCTTTAGATATTAAAAACAATGTCCAAGTAAACCTAGAGTAATCATCAATAAGCACTATAACATATCTCTTACCACCCATGTTTAGTGTTCTCATTGGACCACAAAGATCCATATGGACCAGTTCCATCGTCCTGGTTGTGCTTACCATTTTCTTGCTTTTGAAAGAGGATCTTACCTGCTTCCCCCTTGCACAAGCCTCACAAACTTTATCTTCCTTGAACTTAATGTTAGGCAGCCCTATCACCAAGTTCTCGGAGACTAGTTTGTTTAGTTGGCTTAGACTAGCATGTCCAAGTCTTTTGTGCTAAAGGAGGGGATCATTATCCAACACACTTAAACAAGTAAGTTCATTATTTGAAAGTTTGGACAGATCCATAACATATATGTTGTTCACTCTTTTTCCCTGCAGAACTATCTTATCAGTGGTAAGATTAATCACAAAGCATTTTGCAGAGGAGAATGCTACCATGTTACCTCTATCACACAATTGTGATACATTTATTAGACTATACTTCAGTTCATCTATCAAGTAGACATTCTCAATAGAGTGAGAATCAATCTTACCTACCTTTCCAACCCCAATGATCTCACCTTTCTTCCCATTTTCAAAGGAGACATTACCTCCTTTAAGGTCCTCAAGTGAAAGAAACTTGTTCTTGCGTCCTGTCATATGCTTTGAGTAGCCACTATCTATGTACCATATTTGGCTGCTCCCCTTCACTTGGACCTGCAAAAGGAAATCATGGGTTAGTCTTAGGAACCCAAACTAGCTTAGGTCCCTTTCTATAGGCAAAAGGGTGAATCAAATTCTTTTTAGCCCAACTTGGCAGCCTATTTTTCCCTTGAACAAAATCTTTATTCTTTTGACTTGCCTTTTCTTTTGCAGTGCATTCACTTTTATAGTGACCAGTGTTACCACAGTGTTCTTGTTCTCGGGAAGTGTAAGATACTTGCTTTTGGGATCCCACTTAGGTGTAGGGTTCCCAAAGCTAAGTCCTCTTCTGTTGCTACTATGGTGTTCTTGTAGCCATGAAAGTGCATCAGAAGACCTGTTCCATTTACAAGTTTTGTATAGTTCATGCTTGACCTTGCTTAGATCCTCCTTTAGAATTCTTACTTGTTCATCTCTCTTGTACAATTCATCTTTTATTTTTCCTACATTTTCTTCTAAAGTGAGTTGTGTGTGATCAACTGTCTTTTTGCCTGTTCCTAGTTTCAATTTTAGATTTTCAGATCTAAGCTCTAGGACAGTTGTGTCAAGTGCATGAACCTGATTCTTCAACACAATATTTTCACATACAGTTTCACTAGCCCTAAGTTCCAGGTTTTTGCACTTAGCCTTCAAAATCACACATTCTTTAGACATCCATTTCGTTATTTACATCCTCAGATTCATCAATTAGCTCTAGTAGCAACTAAGATAATCTTTCTTTAGACAAAAAAATAATCTTGTCTTTGCGATGAAAGACACTTATCTCAGTTTCTTCATCAGATTCTCCAATGGCCATAAGTGCTCGTTCATCCTCATCATCATCATCTGAGCTTTCTCCCCAAGCAGCGGCCATAGCCTTGGTTGATCCTTTGTTGTTGCTTTTCTTGGGTTGAACATGTTCCTTCTTCCTGTTCCTTCGTTTAACTCTTTCCTTCTTCCATTCAATTTTTCACAAAGGACAGTTTTTGATGTGATGATCAGACTTTCCACACTTGTAGCAGCCATCATTGGTTTGCTTCTCATGAGCTTTTGCCTTGTTGTAGCTTCCACTTCTTGAAGAACCCTTTCCTCTCCTCAGGTACTTCTTGAAGTCTTTGGTGATCATAGCCATTTCATCATCTTCCATATCAGAACCTTCAGTGATTCTGAGTGCCAAGCTCCTTTCCTTCTTAGATAAATCCATCTTCATGGTTTGTATCCTAAGTTCATAGGCAGTGAGATTTCCAATCAATTCATCTAGTGGGAGAGTGGCAATGTTCTTTGACTCCTGGATGACAGTGATCTTGCTTTCCTAAGTGATTGGCAAAATCCTAGTAAGTATCTTCTCAACCCTCTCTTCTTCAAGAATAATCCTTCCAAGAGATTTTAGTTCATTTGTCAGTGTAGCAAACTTTGTGTACATCTCTTGAATGGTTTAACCATCCTTCATAGCAAAGTTCCCATACTAAGGGTACAATAAAGTCCCTCTAGATCTCTTCACTTGAGTAGTTCCTTCATGAGCCACCTGTAGTGTGTCCCAAATTTGCTTAGCAGTGGCACAACCTTGGATTCTGCTGTATTCATCAGGACCAAGTCCACAAACAAGCCTTTTCTTGGCTTTAGCATTCTTCTCCCACTTCTTCAAATCCTTAGCAGTGCAATCCGCTCTTGTCTTTGGCACATCTACTCCTTCAGTATTTTCCTTCAATGTAGCTAGTGGACCACTAATGACAATGTCCCATAGCTCATAGTCCTCTCCTTGAATGTGATCTCTCATTCTGTTCTTCCACCAAGAGTAGTACTGACCATTAAAGAGTGGTGGCCTAGCAGTGGATTGTCCTTCCCAATTTCCAGGTGGTGTACTCATCTTGATTTTCTCCTAAGGTGTTAGCCTCTTCAGGGATAACCTGATCTAATACCCATTGATATTTTGTACTTCAATACCACACAAGAGGGGGGGAGGGGATGATTTGTGTGGTGTCCAATTTTTTGCATGCACCTATTATAGAAGGACTTGGTTCTTCTATGTGTTCCTTATACTACTGCTGCGGAATAATAAATGCGGAAAGTAAAGAACACATGTATTTTTACGTGGAAAACACCTGGCTTAAAAGGTGAAAAAATCACGACCTACTACTTAATAAGATTTTTCCCAACACTTCACTAAATCACTGAGACAAAAATAGCATTTACAAAACTCTTTGTAAACCTAAGGATTACCTCTAACTCTTTGTGGCAACCAACCTCTAGCTGTTGCGACAACTTCAAGTTAACTCTAACTTGAATACAACACTCAGAGTACCTAGTACAATTGCTTCTAGATAAAGCTGAAAGGTACAGCTCAAAAGCACTACTACAATGAAATTAAAATAAAAGACAAACACTTGGAACTGGTTCTTCTATCTAGTTCATGTAGCTTCAGGTTCGCACACTTGAATCACACATGAATTGTTTGCAAAATGCCTTGTTATTTTTCTCTCAACTCTCGTTTAACTTCAGCGTTTGTGCATACCCGTAAAATGAGAACATCCTGCAATATATAGAGTTAGTAGAATAGGAAATAACTAGAGTTCTAATGCTATACTCTTACATGGTGGAAAAGTTCTAGTTATCTTCAACTTCTAACTCCTCCCTTATCTAGGACAGAGTTCTTATCGAATAAGGAGTCCTTCTCGTTGTCACTTATGCAACCTTTTCGTTCAGGAGATATCAAATATAATCACTTAAGCTTATTTCCTTCACGTGCATGCCTTGTGCTCGAATTTGCCCGTGTCTGTGTACACTATGTATGGACCTGGTTCATGCTTGAATTCCTTTGTCAATATCAAAACAAACTTCACTTAGACCAACAGATCAGGCGATGGATTTTGCTTCCTTTTTAGTTCTATTGCTAGATTATTTCAATAGGACTTTCTTGCCTTAGTAGAACTTCATGTGTTATGCGTAAAATTCCGGAGGATCCTGTCCTTTCCCCATGAATTCTGGAGATAAAAGATTACCAAGCATGAGTTCAATCGAAAAGGTTCATTTAATAAAATTTTGTCGGTGGTATCACAGTGTCTCATACTTTCCCCAGGTTTTTCATTTAAATATAAACATCTTGCATCTCTTTGAAGAGCAATAGCGCATTTTTACCATACCACTATGCAGGAACTGAGCAGTAGTTTAATCCATACATTACATCTGCTACTTCTAGATATTTCATTACCAATCTTCAGAATGGACCCATGATCTACAACAAAATATGGAAAGCAGAACAACTCCGCAAGAGAGAATAGTATGTAGATTTAATGGTAACCTACAGGAGCAGCTGCCTCCTGCAATTTCTTTCCTTGATAATGGATATCCTGCAAAGCAGGTGCAATAACTAAATCAGCTGCACAATAATTTTTGCACATAATGCCAACTGGAGATAAAATTGCCAGCTACAAACGTGTAAAGTCTCAGTGATGTTTAAGTTTGATCTAAGAAACAGAATAAAGTACTATCAGCAGGGTAACTAGAAAAAAGACATCACTGACAAAGGACAATGCGGTATGACATGTAAAAAATAGGAACAAATTTTATATATTTACTACAAAAATCTGAGAAAATAAGCATCGACCCCATACACCACCAAACTGAAGATAGACACTTACAGATGCAAAATGGTTAACATCTCTATGATGAGCTTCATCAGCACGGATGACAGTAATAACATGCTTTAGAGTTGCATCCTTAGGCAGTCTCCAGTAGTCAATTGCAATGGCAGGGGCAGGAATATTTTCAATTTCACCACGATCAATATCATTCAGATACAAAGTATACGAGTGTATAGCTTCCTCTTCCAGATACCCAACTATTCTGTGTCCAAGCTTGGGGGACAGCACGTAAAGCACAAAATAAAAGTTGAAAAAGACTCCCTGCACCGCAAGAACTAACAGCCTCTCATACCATTTAGGTTGCACTAGCTCCACCATAGTCATCAGATGCATCCTCTCATTCTCGGCTTCTTCTAGTAATGCTTTTATCCAACCACCACTTTGCTCAAACTTGCGCAACGACCTCAGATGTAACAGCATACCTCCTACCATTCCGGGCACACCAGCCACTGTTTCCAACATCATTGCACGGCAACCGTATTTTTTCTGCAATACAGATCAGAGATTATCAATGGTGTCAAGAAGCTGATGCATGTAAAAGCAACTCACAGAATTACTGATGTGGTGTCCAGAACACAAAAGTATTTATTTTTCCTTTTTTTAACAGAAAGGTGCTCTTAGATAGTCCATCAAATACCAAGTGTTGTGATTTTGTCACGTGTTTCCTTTTGCAAAAATATGTACTCCTACCGTAGAAGGTTTAAGTAAAGAGCTCATTCTCTGTGACATCCCTGCTCAGTGTGCCATCGGAGCAATTGGCCACATATACATAAATTCATCACCAGACCTTTCACATGACATGTGAATGGTCGGTTGCACAAACTGAAGGTGGTGGCGATCAACAGACTGAATCAGTATATGCCTGGAATAGATGCTCCATTTTACAGTTTGGATCACATATCATTTTCCAAAATGACACATGTTGACAACTCCAGTTACTTCAATAACAACCCAAAGCTCAAGTGAATTGGACTCCATTATTTAGCATTTCTATTTATGTAATAAGATGCTAGTACAAGCTCTTTTTAAGAACTTCAAGGTAAAATCGAGATCAAGAAGTTATAAGGAAGCTTGGTTTCCAAAGAAGCAGTAAAAAGTAGTCATCTAGCATTTGATTGGATAACAGATTCCTTACAAAGTTGAGTGGAAAGCAAACCTTAAAGAGTAAATCTGTCGGAATCCTGAGAAGTTTCACTGTCCAATAAGCAACCTTATCAAGGAATGCCTTGGGTACATGGTGCTTGCTTAGATCAATGGACAAGTCAGCTTGATATGTCTCCCATGGCTACAAACGAAACGGAGAATTAGATATGCATAACTTAATGAAAGACAAGATTTCCTTTTCTTTAGAGCACTAAAACATGACAATTTCTGACTTAATGCTTTACATAGCATCTTGTCCCAGGGACAAGGAAAGGATCACAAGAAAGTTTCGCTAAAACATGTACAAAATTCCTACTTAATACACTGAAAAATCAGAGTAGACAAAAGAAGAATGAAACAACTACAACTCTTCTATACATCAGTGATGTACTACTGAAACATCACTCCATAATATATTGAAATTTTACTCCACCTACCCTCAGAGAGTGAGAAAGTAGGAGATGCTAAAACAGAGATTACATTGATGACAAAACCTAGCAAGACAAAATTACGAAAAGTTTAACCACCTATTCCGGGAAATCATTTCCTTCTGCATGTTAAAGTAAGGTAGAAAGCTGATCAGCAAGGCGATTCAAATAATTGTTTTGAACCGTGAGATAAATACTGATAAAAATTATAGCAAAAGAACGGATCCCATTATCCAAGAGTGAAAGTGAAAGGCTTTCATTATACGGTATACTAGGTCAATCATGTAAATGTTACTTCAAATTCGAGAGACGCTGCTTCGTTGTGTTTTGCGCCCTTCTTTAATAAAGTCTAACCTTGCAACAGAGGTGCATTTGGCTTGAACCTTGAACTCAATAATAAAATTTCCCGTGTCTAGGAGTGTCAAATAGGTAGTTTGAGGATTGAATCAACTTGGACTAAACAATGGGTAATAATCTAAGCCAACGAACTCAAAACTATTTTTTCATTTGTTTGTTTTTTAAATAAATTGTTTAATTATCGAGCAGACTAAGAACAACTTTATCTAGCCAAAACAGATAAACACAAATCAAACCAAACAAAAAAAAAAATGCTGTTAAAAAGTTTTCATATGGGTCAAACTTTCCCCATTATAATCAATTGACCCATAAATAAATTTATTTCCAACTCAACCCGTCTAAATTTAGCTGGATTAAGCTTTTAAGAATCAAGTGTGACAACCCTATGTCACGATCAGGGGAGCTCTATTAAAGGATATAGCAGTACTGCTAACTTCTTTAGATGCAAGTTATTAGTTATAAGATTGTTTATCAAAATGAAAAATCTTAAGCAGGTTATCATTTGGAACTGATTAGAATTAAAAAAAAAATTTAGTCAACAGCGTGTGAGGAAGTTGGTCATTTCATACATATGTACTCTATATCCGGAAAACCTCAAATTATTATGGACGTTATAAGAACATGTAGTTAATTTATATTTCTAACCGGAAACTAAGGATAGTTTTTTTAATCAGCAACTTCAAACACTAATATCAAACTCCGAATTTGCAAAATCAAGTAGTCATCAACTAGAAATTAATGTATCCATAAAGATATAAACCAGTAATTGAAACAGAGTAAACAGACATGGAAAGTAGGAGAGAAAGTAAGCAGCAGTCCATCAACTTTGCCTGTTACTATTGTGTTTGAAAATTAATTGATTGAAGAAATATGTAGAAGTAACGGTCGTACACTTGTGATCATCACATACCATGAAGCAATTCCAAGGCCACACAGAGCCATCTTCTCTAGTAATCTTTGGTCTCGAGACGCCCCAATAGCTGGAAACAACAACTTGGTCGTTTTTTCTTTCCATCTTCTCCACAGAAGCATCGCTCGTTTTCTCGCCTTTCTCATCCTCCTTCCTCACCGTAGTGGACGACGACGTTGACTTCTTCGTTGGCGGTTCACTAGCGGAGCTCATCATCCTCCACCACTGACCAGAAAATCCCAGCCGCTTGCCACTCATCATCACAACTGACTCACTACTCGGCTTATGAACTTCCGCCGCCGCCGTCGCCGCTGATGACGACAGAGACAACGGCGATGACAAGGACGATATGCAACGTTTACAGTTACTGCCAGAATTAACCAACCGCCTCATCACCGACCTTGCCAAGAACTGATTCATCTTTCGATAATTGGAGCTGCGCTAGCGTTGAAATCGGAATTTTGATTATTTAATTTATTCAGTGGAAAAAGCGGTTAACTGAACACTCTCAGAGCAGAACATGGTAAAGTTAAAACACATGACGGACGTTGTACGTTCAGTTTAGTGACGGTTAAACTTGAAATGGAGGTTAAAATTGGCAGAAGATTACAAATCTGCAAAACAATTGTAGAGGTAGCTGCATGCAGAAGATTCAACCTACGGGCATCTGCATTTACCAATGCTCCAAAGTTGACTGATAGAGATAGACTCGTAAAAGTAAACGTGGGCCTTTATTATATTGAAACGTGGCGGTAATGACTGTGGAAATAAACGATGAGTCTTGAGTAAAGCGTAGCGACTAGCGAGAAAAAGAAAAGTTGGTGACGACGTTGAGCACGTGACCCCGGTCGCGTAGCTGCATCTCACTCATATTTATGGCTCCCAACCCAAAGTATGCTTCATTTGCACTAAAGAGACATAAATAGATTAAAAAAAATAGCGGCATCATTTTATATATAGTGCAGTTATTTATCGTGCTATATTTTAATGATAGTTTTATCCGTTAAGATATTTATCGCGCTATATTTGAACTTAAAATGGGTGGGAGACATAGCGCGCATATATAAGGCGCTATAATATAGCGCCTTATATATGCACGCTATACATATATAAAAAATCGTGTCATCTCATTCCCCCACCAGACGCAAACCAGCAACCCCCATTTTTAATTCCCAGCGGCCCCCCTATTTTTAAAGCAAAAAAATTCATTGGAACCCACCGGTCCCATAAAAAGTGTAGATTCTCGGTATTATAGCAAGATAACATCGGATCTAAGGCGTTATCGCGTAGTGAATTACTCATTTCGGCCCCCAAATCATCAAATCTTCACCTTTCAAAAAATTTAAAATCGAGGTATTCCGACTTATTTTTTTGTTAAAACTCATGTATAAAAAATGCATATTAGTTGTTTTTTACTGTGATATATGTTCTTTCGTGATTGTTTTGCGATTTAATTAATTTGTTATTTTTTATCTGGATTAGATTATTATTGTGCTAAAAAATTAATAAAATAGAGAAATTGTTAATTTATGAATAATTAATGTTATTAGTTGTTATAAAAAATGTTTATTAGTTATTTTTTACTGTGGTATATGTATTTTCATGATTGTTTTGTGATTAAATTAATTTATTTTTTGTTATCCGGATTAGATTATTTATGTTCTAAAAGATTAGTAAAATAGATAAATTATTATTTTATGAATAATTAATGTCATTTAGTTACCTTTAGTGTTATGCTGTGCCGGTAATTTTAATGTAGTGCCCGTAATTATAATGTAGTGCCCTTTAACGTAGTACAATGTAGTGCTCTTTAGCGTAGTATCTTTGTAGTTATTGAAATTAATCAGTTTATTACCTATTAACCCTAAAAATATCTGAAAAAAATGATAGTTCAAATACAAACTCTCTTGAATTCTAGTCAACAAATGTAAGAAAATAACATAAAAAATAACATTATTTGTCAAACTAATTATTTGTATATGAATACTTATTAATTAAATAATGTATTCATAGAAAAATTAATTATTTAATTCTATTATACCCAAAAAAGGTGAATAAGAAAGAAACATATAAAATAATAAACAACAACAACAACAACAATAACAACAACCACCCAGTAAAATCTCACTAATGGGGTCTGGGGAGGGTAGTGTGTACGCAGACCTTACCCCTACCCCGAAAGAGTAGAAAGCCTTTTCCGAAAGACCCTCGGCTCAAAAAAAAATAAAAAGACAAAAAGACAAAAAGACAAAAAGGAGACAATATTAGTATCACAACAATAATCATAGGATAAATAGGAACACCATGAAATCTAGAA